CAGCTTCTGGCAGTTGGACGTTTAGGAATTCCTGGAGTATGGGGTTGCGTCTCTGACCACCTTTGGCTAATAGCTATTGACTGACCTACTCTCTATGAATTTATCTAGCTCTTTTTTTGAACCCAGTTATACTTGTGGCCTTCACAACAACCCCAGCAACAAGTTCCACAGGTTGACCGAGTGTGATTTAAAGAAGTACTTCCTTTTGTTTGTTTTAAACCTGTTGTCTATTAATTTCATTGAATTTATATAGTGGCATTGTGATATTTTCTGTCTTATTATCTATCCCTTTCCTAATGGTTCCTAATATTCTATTACCTTTTTGACTGCCACGGTACACTGAGCAGATGTTTTGAGGAAACTATCCACGATGATGCTAAGATCTCATTTTTGAGCGGTAACCATTAATTTAGACCCCATCATTATGTATGTATACTTGGTATTATGTTTTCCAATGTGCATTACTTTGCATTTATCACCACTGAATTTCACTGGCCATTTGGTCACCCAGACAGCCAGTTTTGTGAAATCCCTTTTTTAACTCTCTGCAGTCAGCTTTGGACTTAACTATCTTAAGAAATTTTGTATCAACTGCAAATTTTGCCACCTTGCTGTTTACTCTTTTTTCTAGATCATTTATGAATATGTTGAACAGCACAGGTCCCAATGCAGATCCCTGGGGGGCGCCACTATCTAGCTCTCTCCACTGTGAAAACAGACAATTTATTCCTTTTGTATCCTATCTTTTAATCAGTTACTGATCCAAGAGAGGACCTTCCCTTTTATCTCATGAATGCCTATTTTGCTTAAGAGCCTTTGGTGAGGGACCATGTCAAAGGTTTTCTGAAAGTCCAAGGACACTATATCGACTGGATCGCCCTTGTCCACATGGTTGACACCCACAAAGAATTCTAAAAACCTTGTGAGGCATGATTTCCCTTTTCAAAAGCAACGTTGATTCTTCCCCACCATATTGTGTTCATCTATGTGTCCGATAATTCTGCTCTTTATAATAGTTTCAACCAATTTGGCGGGTACTGAAGTTAGGCTTACCAGCCTGAAATTGCGAAGATCACTTTTGGAGCCTGTTTTAAAAATTAGCATTACATTAAGTACTCTCCAGCCATGTCACACAGAGGCTGATTTAAGTGATAGGTTACGTACCATAGTTAGTAGTTCTGCAATTTTATACTTGAGTTCTTTCAGAACTCTTGGGTGAATCTCATCTGGTCCTAGTGACTTATTACTGTTTAATTTATCAATTTGCTCCAAAACCTCCTCTACTGACAACTCAATCTGGGACAGTTCCTCAGATATGTTGCCAAAAAAGAATAGTTTGGGTGTGGGGATCTCCCGCTCATCCTCTGCAGTGAAAACCAATGCAAAAACCTCATTTAGCTTCTCCGTAGCAACCTTGTCTTCCTTGAGTGCGCCTTTAGCACCTCCATAATGCTTGTTTCGCAGTCTTCCTGCTTCTGATGTACTTTAAAAAAAAATCGCTGTTCGTTTTTGTGTCTTTTGCTAGTTGCTCTTCAACTTCTTTCTTGGCCTGACTAATTATACATTTACACTTGACTTGCCAGAGTTTATGCTCCTTTCTGTTCTCCTCAGCAGGATCTGACTTCCAGTTTTTAAAGGCTGCCTGTTTGCATTCTGCCTCTTTTACTCTGCTGTTTAGCCACAGTGGCATTTTTTTAGTCCTCTTATTGTTTCGTTTTCATTTAGATTATACATTTAGTTTGAGCCTCTATTATGCCGTTTTTAAATAGTCTCCATGCAGTTTGAAGGCGTTTCACCTTTTAATTTCCATTCACCTAGCGTCCTCATCCCCCCCTCCCCCTTCTGAAGTTCAGTATTACTGGGGTTATTCTATATTGTTGTTATGCTATTAACCAGCATGCACAAATAAGCTATAAAAAGGGGACACCAGATATCAAGTACTTTCACTGCGTGGGTTGATGAAAGTTAGGTGTGGGTGCTAGCCTTGGAGAATCATCTCACTGACTTCAGTGTCTCATCACAGCCCACTTTGGCCACTAAATAGCAAGCTTTTGACTTTGGGAGCGAACTACAGCAGAGACTGTAGACAGACAGGAGAGGAAACCTCTCACCTCCATTTATCAGAGCGTTAGAAAAAAGGGAGTTTTCCAAAAGTAACAGTTATAAGGCACTAAATAAATGGACTATTTTCCCTACAGCACTTAACACACAGGCTAACTGGCCAAGTATCAGGGATGGAGCCATAAGACAACTACTCGTTTCTCATTAATGAAATATTTTCACTATAAATACCACAAATACGATCACTAACCCAGCAAAATAACACTTGCACTCCTACAGCATCTGTCCTCCAAGGATCTCCAAGCACTTTATAAACATTAACCTTTTGCCAAACTCAGACACGTTTTCACAGGTGGGGAAACTGAGGCACTGAAAGGCAAAGTGACTTGCCTGTGGTGAGTCAGTGGCAAAGCCAGGAATAGAGCCCCCAAGTTCTAACTCAGCACGTCACTCTGACCACTAGCCCACACTGCTTCAGTGATTACTGATATTTCTTCAGTCAGTGCCTTTACCTGAAGTCAGGGATCCCGGAAGCCGTACTGATCCCGGCTCCTGTGTGAAACACTACATTGGAAGAACCCCTTATCAGGTCTGCTAATGCACGCACTTTCCTCTCCAGCTCCTCTGGCGGGTCAAAAATCTGAGGGGAAAGGAAAATGGAAATGGAGAGCCAGAGAGACGCGTCCCCACCAGCACACCAAAAGGCGGATAAGCCATTGCACCCAAGCCACCACGCTGAACTGCACGGCACTCCGAGTACAAGATCACAAGTTGACTGAAGGGGAAAAAAAAGTGTATTAGCACGGCATGAGGATAAACCAGTGCTGGCTGCCAAACCCCATGGCCTGGTACTGGGAGCCGGCAGGTACGTGGCCTCAGGATGTTCAGATTTAAACCTCAAATCTGCTTCAGTGAGGTGAGGAGTCAGCGAGGGGAGGGAAAGCACCCCCATGGGGGGGGAAGTGAGGGGAAGCATCCACAGGGGGGACGGGAGCCCAACAGGGCCCCCATTGGGGGCCGGGGAGGGGAAGTGCCCCCAGGGGCAGGAGGCGAGCCCAGCAGGGCCCCGTGGGGGGGGGGGGGGAGGGAGTCCAGCAGGGCCCGTTGGGGGCGGTGGGGGGAGGGGAGGGGGAGCGCAGGGCCCCGTTGGGGGGCGGTGGGGGGAGGGACTCCTTTGGGGGGAGACGAAGAGCCCCCGGGGGAGGGGGGGAGTGGAGCGCAGGGCCCCATTGGGGGGAGGGGCTCCGTTGGGGGGAGAGGGAGCGCCCCCAGGGAAGAGAAGGGAGCGCAGGGCCCCGGTAGGGGGTGGGGGGGGGAAGGGCTCCGTTGGGGGGGGGAGAGGAACCGCCCCGGGGGGGAGGGGAGCGCAGGGCCCCGTTGGGGAGCGGTGGGGGGGGAGGGGGCTCCGTTGGGGGGGAGAGGGAGCGCCCCGGGGGGAGAAGAAGTGCAGGACCCGTTGGGGGGCGGTGGAGGGGAAGGGCTCCGCTGGGGGGGGGGAAGGAACCGCCCCGGGGGAGGGGAGCGCAGGGCCCCGTGGGGAGGGGAGCGCAGGGCCCGTTGGGGGCGGTGGGGGGGGGGGGGGGGGGGGGGGGGGGGAGGCCCGGGGGGGGAGCGGGGGGCCCCGTTGGGGGGCGGTGGGGGGAGGGGCTCCGTTGGGGGGGGGGCGGGGGGGGAGGGGGGCCCGTTGGGGAGGGGGGGGGGGGGGGGGAGGGGAGCGCCCCGGGGGGAGAAGAAGTGCAGGACCCGTTGGGGGGCGGTGGGGGGAAGGGCTCCGCTGGGGGGGGGGAGAGGAACCGCCCCGGGGGGAGGGGAGCACAGGGCCCCGTTGGGGGGCGGTGGGGGGGAGGGGCTCCGTTGGGGGGGGGGGGGGGGGAGAGGGAGCGGGGCCCCGTGGGGGTGAAGGGGAAGGGTCGCTGGGGGGGGGAGGAACCCCCCCGGGGGGGGTCGGGCCCCGTTGGGGGGCGGTGGGGGGGAAGGGCTCCGCTGGGGGGGGGGGGAGAGGAACCGCCCCGGGGGGGGGAGCGCAGGGCCCGTTGGCGGCGGAGGGGACCCCGGGGGGCAGTGGGAGGCCCGGGGGGGGGGGCGCTGCTCCTTCGCTCGCACCTCGGGGAGGCCGCACTTGCCCTTGTCCGAGTAGGGGGAGAGCCCGGCCGCGTAGTTCACCGCCATCGTCCCGCCGGCCCCGGCCCAGCGACCAATAAAGTTTTCCTTGTTGTCAATTCCTCTCGGGCAGGGCGAGGGCGGAAGCGGCCGGGCCGGGCGGACTGAAGCCGCCGCCTCTCAAGCCGCCTGCGCAGAGCTGCCAGGACCGCGCCGCCCGGCGCCATGTTCGCTCCGGGCAGCGGCTGCCCGCCCCGGGCGCGGGGCCGAGCTCAGGCGCGGAGGCCCAGGCGGGGGCCGCCCCTGGCCAGGCCGCGCGGAGGCTGAGACTGGCTGGGACAGGGTGCTCTCGAGGGTTTTGAACAGTAGATTTTGGAGGATGTTGCTTTGCACTCTGTGTTTTGAACCGGGCGGGGGGTGGGGTGGGCAAGTCGGAGGGTTGCCAGGCGTCCGGGTTTCCACGGGAACGCCCGGTCGAAAAGGGACCCTGGCAGCTCCGGTCAGTGCTGCTGGCCCGGCCGGCTAACGCAGGCTCCCGGCCCGCCCTGGCTCTGCGCGCCTCCCGGCAGCAGCAGCATGTCCCCCCTCTCCGGCTCCTACGCATAAGGGCAGCCAGGGGGCTCCGCACGCTGCCCCCGCCCCAAGCACTGGCTCCGCAGCTCCCATTGGCCGGGAACCACAGCCAACGGGAGCTGCAGGGCAGGACCTGCGGACAGGGCAGGGCACAGAGCTGCCTGGCTGCGCCTCCACGTAGGAGCCAGAGGCGGGACTGCCGCTGCTTCTGGGAGCCGCTTGAGGTAAGCGCCACCCGGAGCCTGCATCCCTGACCCCCTCCCGCACCCCGACCCCCTGCCCCAGCCATGATCCCCCTCCCACCCTCCGAACCCCTCAGTCCCAGCCCAGAGCACCCTTCTGCAACCCAAACCCCTCATCCCCAGCCCCACACCAGAGCCTGCACCCCCTGCTGGAGCCCTCACTCCCCCCCACACACCAACCCCCTGAGCCAGCCTGGTGAAAATGAGCAAGTGAGTGAGGGTGGGGAGGAGAGTGAGCCACAAAGGGAATGGGGGGCGGGGCCTTGTAGAAGGGGTGGGGCCTCAGAGGAGGGGCAGGGCAGGGGGCGGGGCAAGGGTATTCAGTTTTGTGCAAGTAGAAAGTTGGCAACCCTAGGGTTTTGACATATATTCTGTTTTTCCTCCATAACTGTGAGGTCTAGAACTTTAAAAGAAAATCACATGCAATCAAAGATTCTCACATACACTTGCCTCTGGGTGCTGGGGCTTTAAGAAATACCCCAAATATCACAAGATTTGCAATAAATTCACCAATGTTGGCTTTGCTGCCTAAGGGACACATAAGATGACTGGCTGCATTTAAGGGGGTCTGTGGAATGCCTGGAATGTAGCTACAGAGTCCTAAAATGTATCTCCTGGGATCCTAAAATGTGGCCCACATGCTCTCTCCCATTAACTATATGGTGAGAACAAAGCTGTTTTTAGTATTGGCCTTCTCAAGCTATTTCTAGACATCTCCCAAGGACAATGCAAGCACACACGCAGGTCCCTTACCGTAATAAAGTTTAGGCTCTTGTGTGTTTTTCCCATCATATTTCCCAAGAGACATTTTTACTGTACCTTTGTTTGGCAGGGATAGTACCTCCTTGTCCATCTACAACATGCCCACCATGCTACGGTTGTTATAGGAAAATAAAACAATGATTAGAAAACACAGGCCCCAGTCCTGCATGAAACTCTGTGTTGGGTGCAGGGGGTCCATCTGCACGGTGATCAGTACAGAAGCAGGGCCATAGCACTGTCTAGTGATTAGAGCCTAGTGATTATGGGACTGTGGGGGGGAGGGTCAGGATACTTGGTTTTTATTCCTGACTCTGCCACTGCTTCATGCAGTGATCCTGGGTAAGTCTCTCCACTGCTCTGTGCCTCCATTTCTCCATCTGTAAATTTGGGAAAATAATATCCACCCCACAGTGGGGTTGCGTGAGGCAGACTCAGCCCTTAGGGAGCGCTATGAAGAAGGAAACACATCATTTAATAAAATGGTTAAACATTTTGGCCCAGAGTCACAAAGGTATTTAGGTTCCTAATATCCATTGAAAGCAATCGAAGTTATGACCCTAAATACCTTTGTGAATCCAGGCCTTTGGAACTAATGCCGAACGGGAACATTTCACGCAACAAACTAAGGCCGTGATCCACCAAGCTGCTCCTCATGGGTGGGCGTCTGTGACGGCACAGAACCTGGCCGATGGATTTCAGTGGGGTTCTGTGTAAGTGCTGGGATCCACCCACAGGAAGCAGCTTGCAGCATCACGGTCTAAAGAAATAAGGTCCAGATCCTCAAAAGTACATAGGCTCCTAACTTCTGAGTTGGGCCTAAATGAACAAGATCCTGGTGCAGGTGAATCATTTCCTTTTGCTGCTGCCTTCCAGGTCCTTAAAGGTACAGAGAATATGTAGCCTGGTTTTTGGGAGCTAGCAGAAAGTGAAAACAAGCAGCCAGGCCTGGTCACAAGTCGAGAGCTGCTGAGCACCCATGGCTCCTGATGAAGTAACTGGGCTCGGCAGCCCCTATGCACAGAAAGGTGTTCAGTCAAATGCTGTCGCCACCATCCAGTACTGAGCAGCATCCTGCTTTGGAGAGGTAACTGTACCTGCAGCAGGTGAGTAACTTAATTCCCACTGCAGCTAAGTCCCACCCCTTGCCTATCCTCATTGGTGGTGACACCAGCTAGCTCCCGCTGGGCCACTTCTGATAGCGTGAGATTCCTTCAATGAGACTGAAGTAAGGAGACACGTCCCAGTTTCTTCTGCCCTGGGCACAGAACAGAGTGTGAGTGAGAAGGAGCCCACCCTGCTGCGCTCAGCACTACCAGCAAGGTAGGGAAGGGGTTTGGGAGGGGTGATGGAAAGGCCCCAGGGCTGAGTGAATAGCCACCCCGTTCTGCTGAGCCCTTCCAATGCAGATTTCACATCTTTAAGAGCAGAAATGAGGGAATCTCTGCTGCTGGAGCTCAATAAGCGTTGGGTCGAGCCATATAAATCACACTGCAGAGAGACATTTCCCCATGGCATTAGACATGTCCTGAAGGGGACCCTCCAAAACTGCTGAGAATAGCGAGATTAGCAAGGAGGCACATTCCCCCTGTGAAAGAGAGTGAGCTTGATGTTTACAAGGCAATGCCCATATGCCATGCTACATTGAGTCAGCTCCTCTCCTGGCAGGTTGCCTTGGCAGTAGAAGGCACGGCCCAGGCAAATTTAACAATCTGGTGTGGGATGAGAAGGGAGAGAGTGCTATCTAGTGGTTAGAGCAGAGGACTCAGAATCAGGACTCAGGGTGTCTGTTCCCAGCTCTGCTACCAATTTGCCAGTCAATCTTGGGCAACTCTTAGCTTCATCTCTCAATTTCCCCACCCGTAAAATGGAAATAAGAATGTCTAACACTAACGAGTGTTCTGAGGCTTCATTTATTGGCTCTAAAATGCCTTGAGAGCCCCAGGGGAAAGGCACTAGAGAACTTCTATAATAGAAGGTTATGTAATATAGAGTGCAGTGAACGAGGCAGAGGCTAGGGTAACAGGACACGGTGTGGCGTGCATCCCGACATGATGTGCCCAGAGATCAAGACACCCCATTTCTAACACAGGGTGCAGGCTAATGGTACCTTGATGGAAAGATCACACGACTCAGTGTGCCATGATGCATCTCAGTGGCAGAGCACAGAGCAACAGGCTGGCAGTTCCCTATGCCGGCCAAGTACAGGCCTCCTGCGAGAAATCAAACGTCAAGTGTTTCGAGGCAGTTGATGCTGGTGCAAGCAAACAAATGGAAGAGAAGGGACGTGCATTTGAAATCAGCAACTGGCATCCCCTAAGCCAGTGGTTCTCAACCCATGGCCTGCGGTCACTTGCGGCCCATGTGACATCCTCAGAGCCATACGGGTAATATATATTGTGTGTGGATGTGGCCCACATAACACAGAGAGCTGCATATGCAGCCCACAGTGGTAAATAGGTGGAGAACCACTGCCCTAAGGTTTGGCTTATTTTGGTGACAAGTCCGTAAAGAAAGGTTGCATGAGTCTGAATTTTTGGATCAGGCTGAGCACTGCCTTGAGCCTCCATGAAGGCTACACTATGTCTTCCCGTTGCTCGTACACAGCAGTCTATTGAGTGGCTTGGTCTGGTGTCATGTGTCACGGAGTCCCTGGGCGATGCTCTGGAACTGCTCCCCATGAAGCCAGTCAGGACTCTGGGGCAGTCTCCTTTCTGTGAGCAGCCTGTCTTCAGGACACACAGCTCACACAGCTTCCACCTTCCTGGGTCTGACCTCGGAGCATTCAGCATCCTCTGCCCCTCCGTGCGCTTCCCCCAGCGAGTCCGCTCAGGCAGGGTTCCTGGGGAAGCCAGAGGGTCCTGCACCCCAACTTCGCAGTCAGACGTGACTCTCAGCCAGCCAGTAAAACAGAGGTTTATTAGATGACAGGAACATGGTCTAAAACAGAGCTTGCAGGTGCAGAGAACAGGACCCCTCAGCTGGGTCCATTTTGGGGGGGGGGCAGTGAGCCAGACAACCACGTCTGCCCTTCACTCCATGTCCCAGCCAGCCCCAAACTGAAACTCCCTCCAGCCCCTCCTCCCCTGGGCCTCCTCCTCTCCCGGGCCAGGAGGTCACCCGACTCCCCTGCTCTCCAACCCCCCAGCTCCCACCCCACAGGGGGGAAGGGCCCAGGCCACCAGGAAACAGGGCGTCGGCCATTCTCTGTGTCCAGACCCCTGCTCACACCTGCCCTGTAGGGCTCTGCAATGACCACACACCCCCACCCCACCCTCCAGACACCCAAGAACTGCATAGGGGAAACTGAGGCACCCCCACAATATTCGGAGGAAACATCAAGAACAGTCCCACTTCGTCACATCGTGTATCATGACGGGAGGCATCTTCACCTTTAAACACTGAAAGGGTTTTGATTGCCTCACTGTCGGAGATGTGGGGAGAGGTGGGAATTTTGGAATTTACACCCGGCGTTTAGCTTCTGATAGAGAGCCCAGGCTTCACTTAAAACATCATTATGTTCCTTGTTCAGAGACTTCCCCTGAAACAGAGACAGAGCGTGAGAACTCAAGCCAGAATGAAAAGCCTGAAGGCCAAGTTTAAGAAGACTGAAGTGAGTATTGCTGAAGGGGGGCTGGGGTTTCAGTAGGGGGCGCTCTCCTTTGTGGCACTGCCAGATTGATGCCCCAGCATGATGCTAGCGGATACTGTGCTGCTGTTTCTCCATTGAGAAATGAAACGGACACCCTAACTGCGATCATTCATTTTTGAACCCCATGGCATTTTTGCAAGAGTGAGGGTATTGCCACCCACGGCCAAATGACAGCTCGGGTCATTTACATTCGAGCAACCTAAGTTCCCCCCTGCGGTTTCAACTGGATGCAGCATTATCCACTCCTGGTCCGTCACCTAGGAGTCACAAAGGGTGTGTTTCATACTGTCAGCTTGGGAAGCGCTCTGGGCCCCCTCAGTATGAAGAGGACGCTGAAGTCATTATCTTTCCAGCCAAGGGTTCACCAGAACTAAATCTGAACATCCCCCGCCATTGGCTACTGGAGCAAAGTGTCCTGGCCAGGCTAGAATGACGGCCTCCTCCCCTACTCTTGTGCTGTCCTTAGTCAACTGGTCTTTCTTTTCACCCGTATGTGTTACTCTAGTTCTGGCCTTCCATCTTCTGGGGCACGGCCAGTATCTGTGCTGTCTCACGTGGCCACCGAACTGTTTGCTAAATTCCAAATCCACTGCCTAACGCTGCCCTCCTTTACCTCCCTGCACTCCGCTGCGTGCCATGGGGTTGCCCAGGGGTAGCTGGACTCCTCAGGGCAGTGGTGAGTCTCCTGGTCTTCACCTGAAATGGTACAGCTGTGCCACTTCAGTGTAGATACTACAGCGACGGGAGAGTGACAGGAAACCGAGACAACTCACAAGGCTTCTTTGTGGCCTTTACATCTGCCGTGTGAGCAAGTTTCTTTCCCAGTCTGCTCTACAGACGGTACCACCCTGCTCCCTGAGATTTGGCTTTATTAGCAAAACACTAACAACAGCACCACAAAGCTCAGATCGTGCCTTTTGCCCGGGCTTGACTGGTCCTAGCGTTCCTCCCTCCAGAGTGCTCAGCCCGCTCTCTAGATCCTCTCTTGAAAGATCCACTCCCACCTCCTTGACTCAATGAGCCAGGAGAACCCCCTTGATCCTGCTGGGAAAGGGTTAACATCTGCAAACAGGGTGGGACACTTCAGCTAGTAGTCCCATTGAAGTCAGTCGGCCCAACTGTGCTCCCACTGAAGTCACCAAGACTACCGCGGACAGGACACCAGGCTGGGAGCCAGGGGAACCTAGCTCTGTTCCCAGTTAGCTTCCTGACTCATTGTTTGACCTTGGGCAAGCCACTGCCCCTCTATGCCTCAGCTTCCCCATCTGTAAAATGCGGATAATACTGCTCACTCACCTTTGCCAAGTGTTTTGAGACCAATGGATGCAAAATGCTCTAAAAGTGTGAAGTATTCTCATCACTCCTGGGAGTAGGGTGAGCAGGATTTGGTTCATTGGGCTTCATGCCAATGGCCTGAAGAAGCTGTTTCTTCCCACTCTCTGTGGAGTCCAGCATATAGACTGTTTTTTCCTGACAGAGGGTCATTCTCTATAATATCGCAGTGCGACAGGGTGCAATCACTGAGCCAGTGATTCAGCTGTCAGAAGTGGCTGCTTCTGTGCAATGGATCAAATTCCAGCTGGAAACAGGATCGTTCCAGAGAAAGGAACCGAAGGAAGGGGAAGAAATAAAGAGGGGAGAAAAGAAAGACAAAGCAGAGTAAAGGAGAGGGAGCGTGGGGAGCGGAGGTGGAATTTTAGGCCACGATTCTACAGCCAACTCTGCATGGACAGATCCTTGTGCCTGACAGAGCCAGCTGCAGGTTTTGGGATTTTGTATTGCATTCACACAGCGAGAGTGCATGGTCAAAGATCGTGGATACGCACTCACTGAGCAGCCAGACGTGCAGTTATGTCTGCTCTCCACCTGGCACAGAGAGCTCTGGGTGGATCCATCCAACAGAACAGGGTCGCCGGCTTGCCGTGGTACAGGAGAGGTTTCTCACTCAGGTTTCCAGATCTGCAGAGCCAAGCGAGTCAGGTTTCCACTGGGGCGGAAGTAAGCCTAGGAGGCAAAATCAACACTCTTCAATTATTTAGCAACAAAGAGGAGGGCTCCAGACCGCCAGCTTTAGCTTTGTGCATGCCGTGTGGATAAAAGGGCACTTCCCCTCCCAGCTGTAAGATGAAGGCAGAAGGGACGCTCTGTTTCCCCATGTTATGTATCCTCACACCTTCTTGTCAACTGTCTAAATGGGCCATCTTGATTATCACTACAAAAGTTTTTTTCTCCTGCTGGTAATAGCTCATCTTAACTAATTAGCCTCTCACAGTTTGTATGGCAACTTCCAACTTATCTGTATGTATATATATTTCTTCTTACTATATGTGCTATTCTATGCACCCGATGAAGTGGGCTGTAGCCCACGAAAGCTTATGCTCTAATCAATTTGTTAGTCTCTAAGGTGCCACAAGTCCTCCTGTTCTTTTTTTGGAGGAGGAGACTGTCTGTGGATCACCCATATGTGCAGAGGAATGGAGCTCGGAATAAAAACACAACCTCAAATTAGAAGGCAGAGAGAGAGCACTCTAACCTTGGTGTCTGGGTGCCAGGGCTGCAGATTTCATACCAAGCAGACACAGAGCTCTCATCTGAGGAACTGAATACTGGGTCCACATTCCACAGAAATAGGTTCGCGTTGGTTCTATTTTTAAATTTTTTTTTTAATTTAAAGTTTCCAGGCGGAGTAGCATAGTGGAAGCAGGATGCACATGCCTGAGATGTTAGTCTCAGCCCTCTCCTTGACTCACCGTCTGCCTCTGGAAAAGTCACATAACAATTCTGTGCCTCAGTTTCCCCAGTCTACATAAGGGGAATAAAGATACGCACCTCCTTTGTAGATCTATGGATTACAAGCGTGCCTAGTGCCAGGCGTGGGGATCACAGTGGGCATTTAAAGGCACATCCCGTTAATATGAAATATTGCCCTTTAAAGCTATTAACCGGTGGGATGGCTCAGCAGGAAACAAGAGGTTGTCAGCCAGGTCCTCTCCTCAAAGGGTAACATTCATGACAAGCCCTGTGCCTCTGGACAGGAAGCCCAGTCTTCCCTTCCCACTGACATTCTCCCCCCAACTCCGTCCTAGCGACTAATGTAGGGTCCTTCCCCTGGGCATCTGTGCAAGGCAGAGCTGAGCTTAACTCTTTGCTCACCAGGGTCCTGGAAGTCCCAGTGCATCCCATCACACCATGATTTAGGGGGATTTTACTAGCCGAAGCCCGTGATTCCTGGCCCCCTGACTCTGATCATGCCAAAGTAGGCATCCAAACTGCTTCAGCCTTCTTCAGAGCCACATGGAAACAGGGACCCCAGTGTCAGCAACAGGGTAACAAGCCGATGTTGCTGTTAGTAAAGCAGTAGTTCATATTTGGGGGTGGGCATCCCTATGGCCTGGGGTCACTGTCCCTTTGATTTGGGGTGGGAATCCTTGCGGGAGGGGTGCCTCTGCTCCCCCGGCTTTGGTTTGGGGGTCCTTTCTGGGTTCCTGATCCCCTGCCTTGGGGGGTGCAACTGCTCCCCCGGCTTTGGTTTGGGGGTCCTTTCTGCCTGGGGTTCCTGATCCCCTAGCCTGGAGGGTGTCTCTGCTTCCCTGGCTTTGGGGGAGGTCCCTGATGCCTGGTGTCCCCACTCCTCTGGCTTAGGGGGGGAGAGGAGGAAAGAGTCTCTGCTCCCCGGTTGGGGGTGGGTGGGTTCTCCGTTCCCAGGCCCTGTGGGGGGGGTCGGTTTGGGGGGGTCCCCCCCGCCCGTGGCGGCTCTGCTCGGCAGTCGGGTCTCTCCGCAGGCAGGGGGCAGGCGCCGCCCGGGCTCCCCCGCCGCCGGCCGAGGGAGGGAGGCGGATCCTCCGCTGCGGCTGGAGCCCGGCTCCGAGGGGCGGCAGCGCCGGGGTCCGGCGGCGGAGGGTCCCGGCCGGCCGGGCTGGGTGGGTGGATGGCGGCCCGCCCGCTGCTGGGCACCATGAAGCAGATCTGCCTCTGCGCCGCCGCCTCCTTCGCGGTACGTCCCGCCCGACCTTCCCCGGCCCGGCCCGGCCGCCGCCGGCTCCCGCTGGGCATCTGCCGCGCCGGGGGCCGGCCCCAGCTCCCCGGCCGGGCTGCCCCACACCCCTGGCCCCAACTCCCCGGCCGGGCTGCCCATGCCCCCCAGCTCCCCGGCCGGGCTGCCCCACACCCCTGGGCCCCAGCTCCCGGCGGTCACCCCCAGCCCCCGGGGCTGCCCCACACCCCTGGCGCCCAGCCCCCGGGGGCTGCCCAGCCCCCAGCCCCCGGCCCCCCAGCCCCCAGCCCCCGGCCGGGCTGCCCCACACCCCTGGCGCCCCAGCTCCGCGGCCGGGCTGCCCCTGCCCCCCAGCTCCCCGGCCGGGCTGCCCCACACCCCTGGCCCCCCAGCTCCCCGGCCGGGCTGCCCCACACCCCTGGCGCCCCAGCTCCCCGGCCGGGCTGCCCATGCCCCCAGCTCCCCGGGGGTGCCCCCCCCAGCTCCCCGGCGGTGCCCACACCCCAGCCCCCAGCCCGTGCCGCCCCCAGCCCCGGGGGGCCCCACACCCCTGGGCCCAGCTCCCCGGCGGGCTGCCCAGCCCCCAGCTCCCCGGCGGGCTGCCCCACACCCCTGGCGCCCCAGCTCCCCGGCGGGCTGCCCCTCCCCCAGCTCCCCGGGGGCTGCCCCCCCCCAGCTCGGTGCCCAGCCCCCAGTCCCGGCGGCTGCCCCACACCCCTGGCCCCCAGCCCCGGGCTGCCCCACACCCCTGCTCCCCAGCCCCCGGCTGCCCCGCCCCCTACCCCCAGCCGGGCGCCCGTGCACCCCGGCCCCCAGCCCCCGGGGGTCCAGCCCCCAGCGGGCTGCCCCACACCCCTGGCGCCCCAGCTCCCCGGCCGGGCTGCCCCACACCCCTGGCGCCCCAGCTCCCCGGGCTGCCCCTGCCCCCTTTACCCCCCAGCCGGGCTGCCCGTCACCCCTGGCCCCCCAGCCCCCGGCGGGCTGCCCCGCCCCCTGGCTCCCCAGCTCCCGGGCTGCCCTGCTCCCCAGCTCCCCTGCTCCCCAGCTCCCCGCTGCCCACACCCCTTGCCCCCAGCTCCCCGGGCTGCCCATGCCCCCCAGCTCCCGTCGCTCCCCCACACCCCTCGTCCCCCAGCTCACCGGCTGCCCAGCCCCCCTTGTCCTCCAGACGGGCTGCCTGTGCACCCTGGCCCCCAGCTCCCCGGGGGCTGCCTGTCACCCGCGTTCCCAGCTCCCGGGTTGCCCCTCCCCCCCTGGCCTCCCAGCTCCCGGGTGCCCCTGCCCCCCTGCCTCCCAGCCCCCGGGCTGCCCAGCATCTCTGGCCCCACAGCTCCCCGGCTGGGCTGCCCCATACCCCTGGCCCCCAGCTCCCCGGGCTGCCTTGGCCCCCAGCCCCCGGCCGGGCCGCCCCACGCCCCCCAGCTCCCCGGCCGGGCCGCCCCACGCCCCCCCAGCTCCCCGGCCGGGCCGCCCCACGCCCCCCCAGCTCCCCGGCCGGGCCGCCCCATGCCCCCCCGACCCCCCAGCTCCCCTGCCTTATCTGGAGATCAGCTGGATCCCATCCCTGCTAGAACACCTGCAATTCCCTCTCCTGCCCACCCTATCAGTTGGTGCCCTGGCCTAGGCTCCTTGTCTTGCCCCTGCCCCTGTCTGACCTCGGGGGAGCACAGGTTATATCTCCAGCTTACCCATCAATTTCCTCATCCCCAGGAGGTTGATCCCCCCACTCCCTGCCCCCTATCTACCTACCTACCTACCTGCCCTGGGGTTACTCTAGGCTGCTGGCACCAGCGTGAGCTCATGTCAGTGAGATCCTTAGGAACAAGACAGCTCTTCCTCGTGGGATGTGCTCCCCAGAGGAGCTGGGTGTCTGTGGCTTCTGTTGATTTCAAGATGAATTGCGGGGCTCAGCACCCATCCGGCTTGGTGGTGTCCGTGTGGCCCGGGGTTCTGAGGGCTGGACCATCAAAGGTGGCTAGTGGTAGCATGGGCCCTGGGATTAGGAGTAGTTTAGGAGCCGGTCTGCAGGGATAGACAACATTCCCCGCTCTCTAAAGGTGACTTCCATTTTCACCGCAGCTGAATTGTCCTTTATAGGCAGCCACTCTCTTGATTTAATTAGGAGCCTCAGTGCTTTCCCCCTCCACCGGTGCTTGGTGTCATTGAATTAAACCTGCACCCCGGCCCTTCAGTACCCGGGGAGAGCAAATGTGGAACCCTGCAGCCCCGATGGGGTGGTAGTGATTGTGACTAGGCCCTGAGTCTGCAAAAGTTTGTGCCCATGCTTAGCTGCGTGCACCGTGATGTGCAAATGTAAGCACATATGTAAGGCTTTACAGGATCAGGACCTTAATGGGGAACTGTGGCTGCATCTTGACTGCAGGGAGACAAGCAAGGGATGAAACCTATGAGAGGTGTTCTTTAATCTGCTGGCATGGGAGGGAGGTGAAAAGTGGCGTGTTCCCACAGATTTCCATGAATTCTGCTGTGAGTTTTCTGGGTAGAGTTCAGCTCGCTTGGTTCCCAGGTGTTGGTGGCGGCTTGCAACGCAGACCAGTGGATTCTCAGCGTTTTACAGAAAAGTAAAACGCAAAGCTGGTTACAAGACAAAAAGAAAACTTCTCTGGCAGGCACGGAGATCAAAGCGTGATGTCAGCTGGGATTCCCCGGAACCAGGTTGCCAGCCAAACCGCAGGGAGTTCAGAGAAGAGCAGCAAACCTGCAGAGAGGCTGGAGGGACTGTCTTGTGAGCACTGCGTCAAAGAAGGAAAGCCGTTTTTCAAAAGCAGTCACTGATTTTGAGGGCCTTGGTTACTGGTTGCCCTCTGATTTCCAGAGGGGGTTGGTGACGGGTGCTGGGCAGCTCTGGAGATCAGGCCCCAGGTGTCTGAAATTGTGCAATGAAAGACCAGTGGCATGTCTATGCTATGGGCAATATAGCGCGTCCTACGGCTACGGAGGGGGCTCGTCTGTCGATGTAGGTAATCCCCCTCTCCGAGTGGCAGCAGCTAGGTGGGTGGAAGAATTCTTCCATCGACCCGACTACGTGTACACCCAGGGCTAGGTCAGCTCAACTCTACGGCACTCGGGGTGTGAAAAGGCGGTAGCTAGATGGATGGGAGAATTCTGTCTGCACAGGGGGTTAGGTTAGTTTAATTGCATCGCTCAGGGGTGTGGATATTTCACACCCGTGAGGTCGTTATGCTACCTTTTTTCCCAGCGTAGACCAGGCCTAGGCTGATCTAGATGTGCGGCGTGGAACAGGGCTGAGGCACCCAAAGTCAGCCGACACTTCTGACAGAGCTGGCCCAAATTGGGCTAGTTTGGCTAAGGGGGCCTGAGCCTGACTCTGAACTCAAGGGGAGTTTTGCCCCTGTGTTGTTCTCTTTATTTGGGTTCTTATCCATTGCCCGTCACCACGGTCTCAGGGCACCCAAGGAAAGAAACCCCACGTAGTGAAGAGCATAAACACCAGGGAAAGAGCAGAATTATTTAGACCAGCAGAAGGGGGCGAAAGCACTAGGGGGAATTGGATAAAATGAAGAAAATGTAGGGTAAATATCAGTACAATCTTCTAAGATTGCGGAATGGTCTCCCTCAGGGAAAGGAGCCCCATCAGCCGGGCCCTTTCAAACTAGATGGGACGAAGCTTGAGAAAATAGAGGGGAGCTTGAGAAAATAGAGGCAGCCCAGCCCTGCCTTGGTTGAGGGACTGCACCAGATGGGTCGAGGAGTCTTTTCCATTTCTGATTTCTGTGCATTGCGGAGACCATGTCGTGCGCCAATCGTGGGGACTCCATTGTGGCACTGAGTGGAATCCTTCGTGCCTGGGGTGTGTCAGTTCCCTCTTAAGATCCGACTATGGCTAAGGAAGCTCAGCCGAACAGCCTGCAATCGGCCTGCTTGCGGAGCTCATCTGCCCCATTCCTGCAGTACTGTGAGCTCCCCTCCGGGGTTAATGTGTTTATCCTCGCGGCACCCCCCTGTGGTAGGGCAGTGATGATATTTCATTGCACCGATGGGGAGCAGAGGCACAGAGAGGCTAAGGCCCGGATTCTCCAAGGTATAAAGGTGCCTAACAGCAAGATCTAGGCCTAAGTGACTTACCCAAGGGCACACAGGGAATCTGTGGCAGAGCAGGGAATCGACCCTGGAGCTCCTAGGTCCCCGGCTAGCATCCCAACTTCCTCTGTTGGATGTATCCTTTTCTCCTCCCCATCTGGTGGGCTGCAGTAGGGCTCCGAAGTCCCTAATTTTGCCCCTGTTTGGGTTTCAGAGCCACGACTGGGGTAAGAATGATGAGAAGCTCCTACAGGCCGTGGACTACAACGACCCCGAGAAGGTGACGGCTCTACTCCTCCGCAAGGGCCTGGTCCCCACCAAACTGGACTCGGAGGGCAAATCCGCGTGAGTCACTTCCACCGCTAAAGAGACTGGGCCAGCGTCTCAGTTCCCCCCATCTCTGGGTTTGGGGTGATAGCTTTAAGGCACCGTTGTCCTCTCCATAGTGTGGGGCCTTGCCTGGGCTGTGGCGTATGTGAGAGCAACCCGAAGGCTGCTCTCTCGCACTCTTTTCTTCTCACAGCTCCCCTATTCACAAGTGGCCCTATGGTAACAAACCAGTGGGCGTGGCCAAGAGTTGATCAGCAACCCTACAAAAATAAACTAGAGAGGAAGAGACTGGCAAGGAAGCAGATTAGTAACAAGTTGGGGTTTTTAAAGGATTTTTTGTAAATACGGAAACTTCTCAGACTCTAGCCTTTTAAGCAGAGGTGGTGGCGGGAGGAGTCTGTGGAGTATGAATGGTGACGGGAGCTCCCCGGTTGTGTCACAGGTTCCACCTGGCTGCAATGAGAGGGAACGTGGACTGCCTGGAAGTGATGCTCGCTCATGGAGCGGACACCATGACCACAGACAGCTCCGGTAGGCAGCGCGGTCTGACTCCCTGATATGACGTGACAGTGGGGACGTTGACTTGGGCCATTTTGAGCTGGACAAAGCAGTAGAAAACATTCTGCTGAGCCCGCTCCTGTACTGTGCAAGGGGCATAGGAATTAAATGGGACCTTATGGATCTCTGCCCTGTCTAGTTTCTGTGTTTCCCAGCCATAGGATCAACCCCATTCCGGTGGAGCTGCCAAGCTTCCCCTTTCTGAGGGGTGGCAGGCTCCTCTGGGATCCTTTAGTCCAATCTCCTGGTCGTTCGCCAACCCTTCCCGGGCTAAAAGGGACGGATCTCTCCAAATCCCTGCAATCTCTGACTCAGCGGCTGAGTAAGCTTGGTGATCCTCGGAAAGAAGGTGTCAAAGCTGCTCACCATTCTTACTTTAAAAACTCCCCTGCAGGCTTGAGCTGAGCACGGGCAAAAGGGGTGATGAGAAATCTTGTGTCTGTCAGAGCCCAGCTGCATCTTGGGACCCTGCATTCCACGGCAGTCCTAACGGCAATGGTTAGAGCAGTGGACTGTGTCCCAGGTGGATAAGAATCATCACGCACTTGCTAATTGCTGGCAATGGTTCTGGTAGTGTGTGTAAAAGCCATGTCTGGGACCTGCCTCCTTCCACATACTAGCGTGTTCTACTGTGCTCTTAAGAGGGGTACGGGCATCTCCTCTGCATGCTTTGGACTCAGAATAAAAATGGTCTCAATATTTTAAAATGTACACTGTAGGAATAAGAACAGGAGGACTTGTGGCCCCTTGGAGACGAACAAATTTATTTGAGCGTAAGCTTTGGTGAGCTACAGCCCACTTCATCGGGTGCATTCAGATTAACACGGCTGCTACTCTGAAACTTGGCCCTATAGGAACAGCTTCAATGAGATCCTGCAGCCTGCTTTGGGCCGGGCTTTTGTTGCATCTCATGAGCTAAGCAAGGTCTGGCCAGTTTGCTCTTTGGATGGGAGACCTCCTTGGGCCACTGAGGTGTTTCAGGAAAGGGGTGTTGGCGATTCAGTGAATGTTCTTCTCTTTCTCCCAAACTGATAATAAAATAGTGCCCCAGCTGGGTGCTAGGGGGCGCCGTGCTGCTGGATTTCCTGTTTGGCTCCTGACCACTTAGAGCGATTCCAGATCTGATTCCATGGTGCTTCTCCTCATGCTAGGAGAGTTAACCCTGGATTCCTAGTCAGATTCCAGCTTGGCAAATTACATTGTCTCCCGTTTTTCTCATGCACTTCTTATTGGATAGAGGAATCCCCATTTCTTAAGCCACCCCGTAGCACTGCTGTGAACTACTGTATTAACTAGCTGTTGCGTCCTTCCCCAGATGTGGCTGCAATTTGGTGGTGGGTGACGTGATCCATGGATGTCGATTACCTGCCTCGGGGTGGGGGGGCAGGGGTGGAGAATAAATTGTTTCATGCTGACGATTTGTTTTGATCTCCCTGGGTGCACATATAAAGGATCACCATCATTATGATTACCCCTTGACCTGCCAGTCTGTCTCTTTCCAGGGTACAACGCGCTCCACCTGGCCGCGAAACATGGCCACCCACAGTGCGTGAGCAAACTACTGCAGGTAAGAGCAGAGCAGAGCAGAGCAGTGGGAGCCTGGAGTTCAACAGGGAGGGATGTGTTCATTGTTGGTGTTGAAGCACTGAAGACTGGAGATCAGGGTACAGGGAGCTTGTGGGGAATAGAGCAGCCCTCGTAAGATTCACCTCCTGCGCATGCTCCTGGCCATGTAGAGATATTGTCCATGTGACCGTTCAGTCTAAAAAACAACCTAAGCAGGGTTGGAATTGCCATCTGGAAGTGAAATCTCCATACTAGGGCTGGTCAAACATTTTCCATCTAAACTGGTTTTCAATGGAAAATTGGGATTTTGACCAAGTGTTTTGTGAAGTGTCTGCTTTCCGGGGAAAACTTGTTTATTTGGCTTTTTGTGTGTGTGTAAAAAACCAGAATCCCTCAAAAACCAAAATATTTTGATTGGGATATGCTGCCACAGTGCCTCGTGGGAGGTGTAGTTAAGTTGCCATGTACCTATTTTCCTCTATAGGCTGAGCTCCTTGGCCAGACTATGTCTCCCTTGATGCACTATGGCCGGGGACTCCCATGACGGGCCTGCCTCCCCTCGCCAAGAAGGGAGACCGTGGTGCATCATGAGAGTTGTAGTCCGACCAGGGAGCACTGCCTATAGAAGAGAATGCAAGCATGGGGCACCCAGCCTACAGCTCCCATGAGGCACAGTGGCAGCATTTGAGACATTTAAATTTTTCAAGAAAAATCTTTCAGCGTGCAAATTTTTGGTGAGAAAAATGGGAAAATACCCATTTTCTGACCAGCTCTGTCCAGTCCATGAATGACCCCCCCGAGCTGTTTGGTCTCCTCCGGAGGCTATTACATGAATAGGTCAGCAAGATAGAGTGTAGGTCAATACATCCCATCCCTCAGCCTCTCTCTTCTGCCTTCCCTATTGAACCCAGCAACGAGTGACTGGACACAGCAGAACTCCACAGCTTAGCATTACACTGTGGGCACCTGCAAGGAAAAGGGAACCTTGATCCTGGCCAGTTACCCTTCCTTTTGTGGGTGACCTCAGACGGGGCCTTGCTGAGCCAGCCAGGGATTTGCAGAAGGTGTCACCATAGAGCAGCCGTGCCTTGGTGCTGTGAATGAGGGGACGGTGCAGTAGTGTAGTCGAGAGTAAAAGCGGGAAAAGGGAGTTTTCCCACTTCTCATGTGGGGAATGTGTTTTTTAGTTCAGGTTAGTTTACCTGTGACGTTTTGGGGGCCCTGCAACGCTGGGTGCCTGGAATGCTGCACTGTTGTGGCTGACAGCCAGCAGGCAAGCATGCGGGTCACACCCTGGCTTCCATCTCCCCGTTACTGTTTGCAGAGTGACCCCAGTCCGGAATTTCCCCAAAACCACCTGCCTCTCCAGCATCCAGCCCTCTCCTGGAACACACAGAAATTATTAACTTCATTGCCCCTCTGAAGAGTCAATAGGCGGCAGCTCATTAATGGAATTGGGGTTTGACAAACACTCTGATTTCAATCACAGCACTGCACTGGTTCACAGAAAACGTAAAACAAGGTTATTAAACAAAAAGTCAGAGGCTTGAGTGATCCCAGATGTAAGGAATAAAGATAAACAAAGCAGAAGTAAAAAGATGCCTCTAAGACTAAACCTTGATTTGAGAAAGTTACAGTCTTGGCCCAAGTAGGTTTCTCACCTAAACTTAATTCCCAGGAACTTCAGCCCCCTTGGTTGAAGGACCCAACTTTCTGTGATTTCTAGGTCTCTGCCCCCTTGAATCCCCCTAGTGATGGATCACTACGGGGTTCTCTCCCCTTTCTTTTTATAACCCAGGAAACCTTCGCAATGTATTCTTTGACAACTAAGCCCAGACCAAGGTTCGCTCTCCTGTCACAGGCTTTCATAAAAGATCGTACCTGCTACACTTTTATAATATAGTAATGTAAACAATCCACTGAGTCAACTGCTTGTCATCTGAGGTTCAGACACCTTGTCTTTGCACTGGACGCTATCTTCCCCATTTGCTAGGTTGATGGCTTGGTTTACCTGTTATGTAAACATACCTTCGTTGTCTGCCTGACAACCAGGCTGGTCAGACAAGCAAATACACGTTCCTTTGTCTAAAGCAGACTAGTCTTATGGATTGCTTGCCCAACACACTTTAAGCACGTAATTCTGGTACATATAACTCTTTGTACACACCCCGTACATCTTAACGATTAGTGAGTTATGAGTTTTCCATGGATGTATTACAGGCAACCTTTCGGGTGTATAGCATGACAATGATGCATTAGGTGTAGTGAGTAAGAATTGCTGACACCCAGTACTTACCCGGGGGTCTCTCTGACAAATTACCCACTTCTTTTTTTTTTTCTTTACCCCTACCCCACCGGGAAGGTAGTGGTCACCTGTTCTTCTCTCACCATCTTCTCTGCCCATTAGGCATCTTGCCCGGTTGATGGAGCCGACAGCAGCGGTCAGACAGCGCTCCACCATGCAGGTCAGCAGAGCATCCTCCGCTCCCCCCCGCCCACATCTTAAACGCGGGTGTCAAATCAGCTGGGTAAACCGCCTGCTGGTAACTTGACTTGTAGTGAGGATGTCAAGGGCAGGTGGCTGCGCAGAAGGGTGAATGCACAGGGGAGTAAGGGCCAGGAGTGTGCCCAGATTCCATGGTGATGGAGCCACGGGGCCTAGACAGAAGAGTACGCTCTCTCCAGTGTAGTATTTGCCATTCTGGGCCAGATCCTGGCATGGGGGAGGGCTATGGAGGGGCAGTGAACAGGGGTTCACGGTTCCTCTTCTCCTCTCTAGCTGTCAGCGGCTGCATCTCATGCTCAGAGATTCTCTGCGATTTCAAGGCCTCCTTGAATACCAAGGACAAGGTGAGGCAGTTCTTTCCATCAGGTTTATGTTTTGTTGACCTTCAGGGGGTTGATTTCCCCTGCACAGAGAGTCAGCACAAGCCTAGGTGCCTCTTCCGCTCCATTGGAAAGGTGGTATAATGTAGCAGAGAACCAGATGTGCAGAGATCACCTCACCCACCACTGAAATGCAGCCACCTCTTGGGTGGAACGCAGCAGCCTGTTTAACAGAACACAACAATAGCAGATATATCTATTTTACCTTCAGCTCCTAATGGATGTTGCTGTGTATGTACCCGAGATAGACAGAATAATGCCCGGTGTCAAAGGACATGAAGCGAAGAGGAATCTTGCATCTAAGGCTATATCTACACTACGGCCTCGGCAAAATTTATGTCGCTCAGGGGTGTGAATATTCCACCCCCCTGAGTGACATAAGTTATACTGTGTCAAGGTTCCTTCCCCACTCTGAACTCTAGGGTACAGATGTGGGACCTGCATGAACACCTCCTAAGCTTACTTTTACCAGCTTAGGTTAAAACTTCCCCAAGGTACAAACTATTTTACCCTTTGCCCTTGGACTTCCACTGCCACCACCAAACGTTTATCTGGGTTTATTTTTATTAGGAAAGCGTTGTTTGGAAACGTCTTTCCCCCCCAAAATCCTCCCAAGCCTTGCACCCCACTTCCTGGGCAAGGTTTGGTAAAAATCCTCACCAATTTGCATAGGTGACCACAGACCCAAACCCTTGGATCTTAAGAACAATGAGAAAGCATTCAGTTTCTGAAAAGAAGGATTTTAATAGAAGAAGTAAAAAGTAAAAAAGAATCACTTCTGTAAAATCAGGATGGTAAATACCTTACAGGGTAATTAGATTCAAAACATAGAGAATCCCTCTAGGCAAAAGCTTAAGTTACAAAAAGACACACAGACAGGAATATTAATTCTATTCAGCACAACTTAATTTCTCAGCCATTTAAAGAAATCATAATCTAATGCATATCTAGCTAGATTACTTACTAAGTTCTAAGACGCCATTCCTGTTCTGTCCCCAGCAAAAGCATAACACAGACAGACCCTTTGTTTTTCCCTCCCCTCAGCTTTTGAAAGTATCTTGTCTCCTCATTTGGTCATTTTGGTCAGGTGCCAGCAAGGTTATCCTAGCTTCTTAACCCTTTACAGGTAAGAGGATTTTTCCTCTGGCCAGGAGGGATTTTAAAGGGGTTTACCCTTCCCTTTACATTTATGACATACTGCCGTAAGCATGTGCACAGCGCTATGTTGGTGGGAGAACTTCTCCTGCCGACGTAGCTTATGCCCCTCGCGGAGATGGGTTTTCACCAGATGCGCTGCAGCAGGCCCTGGGTTTTACGTCTCTGTTTAGTTTGCTTTCTTTGCACATGGTGTCCACCTTACAAAATAATATCTCGTCCAGCATCAGGAAGGACAGCCCAGTGGTTAGGGCACTAGCCTAGGAGTTGGGAGAGCTGGCTTCAGTTCCTTTCTCTGCCACAAACCTCCCGTGTGACCTTGGGCAAGTCATTTAGCCTTCCTGGACTGTGGGATAATAGCCTTGCCCTGCCTCATGGGGGGTGGTTAAAGTTTGTGAAATGCTTTGAGGTCCCCAGCTGGAAAGCGCTGTAGAAGAGCCAGGTGTCATTATGATTAAGGGAAGGGTTGGTGTCCATCCCTGCCTGGTGATGGGACAGTGTGTGCTCCATGGGCTCGTTGTCCGTCTGCAGTGGGGTCTGGCTCTGGACGGATGGGAGGTGGGTACCAGACAGCAAGGAGGGCTGTACAAGAACCTGAACTGACTAGACTATATCTGAGCCAGGCTACCCACTGCTGCTCATTTACCCTGTCCCCCCATTGACGTTCCTTCGCCATGCCCCAACTTTAGGATGGCTCCACCCCTCTGATCCTGGCAGCTAAGATGAGCCATTCAGAGCTGTGCCGGTACCTGCTGCATCACGGAGCTGCTGTGAACAGCAGAGACCAGCAAGGCAGGTGAGCTCTGAAAGGCCCTGGAAGGAAGGGGGGCTGGAGAGGTGAAGGTTAAAGTTTGGGGGTGGGGAGACTCATGGCAGAGAAGTGAGTCCTACCAGGCGAGCACCTGCGTCTGACTAGGGGCTAGAGGTCTCCAGCTGGCAACCTCTGGGTGAGCTGCTCAGGGCCTGGAGCACCTGCGTCTGACTAGGGGCTAGAAGTCTCCAGCTGGCAACCTCTGGGTGAGCTGCTCAGGGCCTGGATCCCTCTTGACGTGGGGTGGGGGGGTCTGGACGAGTCAGGCAGGCACTGGCTGAGGCTCTGCGAGGAAGCGTCTTACAAAGCCGTAACCTAAATGGCCTGCGTAGATCCTGCCTTTGCCTCGTGTGGGCAGGGTGACGCCCCACCTTGAGATGGGGTTCCCCCGTGCAATGCCTGCTGGAGTCTGGCAGGGGTTCTCCCTCCCGGCCTGTTGCTGCGGGATATCCTGGCTGCCCCAAGCCTGATTGCAAACCTGGGCAGTCCTGTCTTCAGGGCAGAGAGGGGAGAGTGGGCAGGAGCAGGGGGAGAGAAGGGCTAGGAGAGTTGGCCCCAGCAGAGAAGGGGGTTCCCATCCAGTTCACCAGCCTCATGCCGCTGGCTCTGGTGGGTGAGTGGGGCCATCTCTCCCCCCATCCCCACTGTAGAACAGCCCTGATGCTGGCCTGCGAGAACGGCAGCGTGGAGACGGTGGAAGTCCTCATCCACGCCGGGGCGCGGGTCGGCATGGTGGACGCCAGGGGCCAGGACGCAGCCCGCTACAGCCTGGCCACGGGGAATGCCTTGATCCAGCACTACCTGCAGGACGCCTCCCAGCGCCACTCCTGGGCTAGCGGTAAGGTGCCCTGGCCACGTCCTTCCCGAGGTCTCAGAGCACCTTGCGATCACCCATGCGGCAGCGTCTCGCCCCTGCCTAGGGGGAGGCGGCAATGTCCCTGCTTTGCAGGTGGGGTGACTGGGTGGGGTCAGGGAGCATGGTGTTTCCCTGGGAGGGGGAGTTACCCAGGGCACCCCTCCTTTTACTCGCCCTGCTGCTCAAACTTTGGATGGGAAGTGCCTCTCCCTGGACTGGCCAGAGGGGGTGCTGGAGAGCGATGGGCGGCACTTGCTTCCCACGGGCTGAGAGTGCGTCTGTCAGCTGAAGGGTAGGAGTTGGGTCCCAGACTTGGATCTGCCACATGGCACCATGGAGCCCGGAGCCCCAGAGGGGTGTCTGTCTGTCTGTCTGTCTGCTCCCCCTTGAGCTGAGGGGACCAGGCCACGGGTGGCCTAGTGCCCCTGGTCCCTCTAACCTCCTGCTGGTTTCTGTTTCCTCCCCTCTGCCTCCCACAGAAGAGGAGTCGGCTGAGCGAACGTCGCAGGTAAAGACGCAGGGGGCCTGGCCTAGCAGAGAGCCCCGCATTCCAACCGCTCAGGGGCTTCGGCAAAACTGGGCCGTCCTGACCCGGCTTGGCCGCGTCCCAGGGCAGGGGACGGGCTCGACGGGCTCGGACTGCTGCCCTCGTCGGGCTCGCGGGAGAACAGAGGTCCCGTGAAGTCCTCCTGGAACATGAGGCTTTTCAGGGGCCGGGGTGACTGGAGGGATTAGGAGCCCCTGGGGATGCTCCCGTCCTTGCTGCCCCCTCCCCAGTCGGGTTTTGCTGGGAGAGCTTCCGGAGCCCTCTCCCGTCGGTGTCTCCGCAGACGGCGTCGCCGAGCCAGCCTCCGCCCAATGAGAGGAACAGCAGCCCGAGAAAGAGGAAAGCCCCTCCACCGCCCCCCGGCACCTCCAGCCAGGTGAGATGGCCATCGGCTCTGCCTCCCCCTCCCCTCCGCACACCCCAGCAGGCAGCCGCAGGAGAGCGTCCCCGAGCGTGTTGTGACGTTCCCGGGGGCTGTGGTGTTTCATGGTCTAGGCAGCTTCCGCAGTGGTGGTGACTCACCCTTTAGTAACCAAGCCAGCTGCAGCATTTGTGCACAACCAGGATGTAGCGATGGGGGGGGCACAGCTGAGACAGCCAGGGAGGGGACCTACGTAAAGGGATTTGACCATCGAGCTGCAAAGGTGCTTATCTGGCCGCCACCCCCCTCGCATCTGGGCACCTCACAATCCTTACCAGGTTTATCCTCGTGACACCCCCATGCTGTGGGCCCCATTTTACAGATGGGGAGACTGAGGCCTGGGTCCCTCAAGGTCAAATCGTTGATTTCCGTGGGAATGAGTCACCAACATACCTTCGAGGACCTGGGCCTGGGTGACTTGCCCAGGGTCATCCAGGAAGTCTATGGCGGAGAAGGGAATTGAAGCCAGGCCGTCCAAGCCTTAGACTAATGCCCTAATCATTGTGCCATCCTTCCCCTGTGCAGCCCTAAGGCATTTGCCTGCCCCCATGGGACCTTGCTAATGCAGGCGAGCTCTTCCCCCAGGCCTTTCCTAAGGGTGTGATCGACTTGTGCCCCTTGGCAGTAGAGAGAGACAGGCAGCCTGTGAGGCTTGTGCCCCTGGCTCTGACAAAGGGGCATGGTCCAGCCGCAGACTGGCACTGGCAGGCCATGGGTCGATCTTATGGGCATGGGGGGGTTCTAGTTAATTTCTCTTGCCCTGGTCCGGTTGCTTGTCTGCAAAGAGGGTTTCCCCATCTGCTGTTCACTGGGTAAATGCCCCTTCCCGGTGGTGGGGGTGGCGTCAGCAGGCAAGGGCTGGATACGCCACTCAGTGTCTTTCTGATGACGGGGTTCTGGGGGAGAACAAGAACTCCAGGCCCCTCCCCTGCTCTGGATTTCCCAGTACTGTCTGAGCCCCTCTTTGGCTCCAGCTGCCCGGCCACTGAGTGTCATAACCCTGCCATGTTGCTTAAGCTAAGCAGGGGCAGGCCTGGTCAGTGGCTGGATGGGAGATGGTGAGTCAATAGGAAGTGCTCTTCTCTGAATTTATCTCTCATTAGGAGACCCCATGCTGCTGGAAGTACCATCTGTCAAAACTTAGGTGTAGACCTCCAAAGGAGGTCAGCAGTATCGTTGTCCCATTTTAGGGGGGGAAACTGAGGCACAATTTGCCCAAGGTCACCCAGCAGATCAGGGGCAGAACACAGGGCTCCTGAGTCCCAGCACAGTGCTCTGATTATGCAGCAGTAGTCCCAGTATCATGGCCAAACTCTAGCTGGCAGGGCCACCCCCTCGTGGTTGCAGTTGGGTCCGAGACTCTGCTTTTATTTCCATAACCAACGTGCGGTGTGAAACAGCTGCCCCGCTGCCCTACCCTAGAGCTGGCTGCTTTGGGGGATCGGGTGAAATGATTCCTGCACGTGTGTGTAAAGCCATTCTGTCCATTTGGGGGGGAGGTGGAAGGCATAAAGGGACTTCTGCGGGAACGGAGCTGGGGGCTTATTGGCTAAGCCAGCCGCCCTTCTGGCGGCTCCTCGTTCTCTCTGTGTGACGACTGTTACTGTTTTCAAGCGCGCCCCATGCTCTCTGGAGCACAGCTCCCCTTCCACAGAGCGGAGCAGCCGGATAGTCACCGCCAAGCCCGCCAGGGCTCGCCCTGCCCCAGCTGACACGGTGAGGATCCCCTGGCAGGGATACCGGGATGGGGTGGGCTGGGTACCCACTGCTTTACCCTGACTGCCCCACCTCTGGGATTCCCCACAGGAGGACAGGGAGGCCTACGAGGAGATCGTCCGTCTGAGGCAGGAACGGGCTCGGTTCCTGCAGAAGATCAAGGGCTTAGAACAGCAGCAGGAGAAGCAGAAGCGGGAGGTACTGATGTAATTCCCCCGCCCCGCGAGGGCCAGAGCCGGGAGGAGCCGGGTGACTGGGCGGGTTGATGGAAGGAGGATGGGAAGGAAGGGAGCTGCTTGTGGCATCACCTTGGCTATTGCCAGAGGGTCTTGCACTGGCAAGGTGGGTGGGGAGGAAATTGAGAGAGGACGTCTTGTGGCTGGGAATGCCTGGCTGCTCATTCTGCGGCTCTGAGCCCACGGTCAGACCTGCTGATGCGTGACCATGGGCAGGACCAGGCTGCAGAGTTAACCGTCTTGGACTCTCCTTGTGTTCCCACTAGCAGCTGGAGTTGGAGGAGGGCTCCCTACGCTCCATGGAGAAGCAGGTAGGCCAGGTGTTATGTCTCCGGAGACTGGACTCGGAGAGCTCTGAATGGGGGATGGGAAGGGGAAATGGCTTCATGTGGATGCTTCAGGGCATACGCTGGTCATCAGCTGGGGGTCAGGAGGAAATTTTGGGATGCCAGCGCCAGGTTAGGGATATAACGGGGTGGGAGTTACCCCGTCCTCCAAAGCATCTGGGATCTGCCACCATTGGAATAAGATACTAGACTAGATGGAGCCTTGTGAAAGATCCACCCCACCTGGTTTGGAAGGTACGGATGGGAATTGGCGCGAGTGTCCGGATCTAATGATGTGTCTAATTCTCTGATCCAGCTAAAGGAACTCCAGCAGCAACTGGCGGACAGTGAGGGGGAAAAGGAGCATTTGGGGAAGGAGGTTGAAGTGCTCCGGAGCCGCCTGTCCTTGCTGGAGGTAGGCGAGAAGGGGACAGGGAGCTTTAGGTCTTACCGAGTCACGCAGGAGGCCAGTGAATTGTGGGACTTTCCCTGACGTTGGCGCAGGTATGATAGGGACAGTGCGGCCTTGTCTTAATGCAAAAGCCAGGCACTGACCTTGTCTTGGCACTATCATGTTGGCATCAGCCGCGGCATGTATCGGTGACTGGTGCCGTGGGAGAGCGCAGGGAACGTGGGGGGGAGCTGTGATCTTGGGGGGGGGTCCCTAACTCCCTGCCTGTCTGTGCCCCAGGCCGAGAAGGAGAACACCAGCTACGATATTGACACGCTGCAGGACGAAGAGGGGGACCTGCTGGAATTCCCAGGTTGGTCATCGCGCCCGGCCTGTGCCCGCCAGGTGCCCGTGCTGCTCCACACTGAGGGCACGGCCCAGCGAGGGGCTGAGCGTATCCCGCAGAGCGGGGATTGGCGCTGGGCTCTGCGAATCTTTAAGCACGAGCTCCTGCTGCTTGGGCTGAAAGACGCCGCTGTATTGGCCAAGAACGTAGCAGGCCCCTCCACCAGTGTACCCGGCCCAGCCCTTGCCAGGGGGTGGAGCGCCGCACTGGGTCCATGAGTGGCTCCCATGGGAGAGGAGGGCCCTTGGCATCTTGCAGGATTGGGTTTGTGCTGGTTAATGCCTGGGAAGGTTTTGCAGGAAGCAGGTGGTGGAGGGGGAAGTACCCTGGCGTGGCAGGGGGCAGCTCTCAGGGTGGGGATGGGGCTGTTCAGGTCAAGGACCAGGGTTAGTTAGTGATGGGTCTTTGTGGGGGTGGGGCTGGGGTTCTGCTGCTCTTTCAGGGGCAGAGCTGCTGCTGTCCAGGAAGACTCTGAGTCTGTCCACGGAGGAGCTGCTGGCCACGCTGCAGGGCCAGGTGCAGTCGCTCACCATGCAAAACCAGGAGCTGCTGGAGAAGATACAGGTACCAGCCCATCCTCCCCTTCAGCCAGGTGCACGCTTCGGGTTTCCCCTGCTAGCATCCCCCGGAGGCCCTCTCTAGTCCCCCCTCCCAGGGCCAGCATCTCCTTAGTGTGCCGGTTCCGGGTTGGGGCCCAACGGGCCTGGGGGCGGGGTGAGCCAGTGGCTGCTGCCTTGTCACAGACGTGGACGGCAGGTTTCTCACCCCTCGCGCACGGCAAAGACCTCAGTCGCTCCCCATCTCTGTCTGTAACCTTGGCAGTGTTCTTCATACTGAGTTCTCCTCCCCGTTCCCTTTGCCTGCACGCGTTCCTGCTGTCACCCTGGCACCACTGCGCCTGCTCCATCTCGGGGGGAGCCCTCCAGACCCTCCGGTGATGACACCAATGGCTCTTCCCTCCTCCATGATCTCTCCAGACTCAGGGAGGTGCAGGAAGCCGCCACCTGCCTTACTGTGTGTGCAGAGACATCAGACCATGCAGCCGTCCCCGTTACCCTCTTCAAATGGCTCTGCAGGCTCCCTGCTTCACTGCAGGATCCAGCTCAAATTTGCTGGGAACGGCTTCCGAAGTCATGTTTCAGCCTCTTCTCTTTTCTCTCCCCCTCTGCCCCGAATCTTTGTAATGTCACGGTGCAAGAGCCTTCTCCCATGCAGTTCCTGGCCTCTGGAGCAGGCTTTCTAGGTGGCTTCCCTTTGCCAACTCCTACTGTTCGTATCAAAACCTAATCTTTTTTCCTTTGCCTTGTACTTATCCGCTCGGCTCCAAGGCCCTGCTGTTTAACTCTGTCTCTGTATCATAGCCCTCTGTACAGTTAAACTACAGGGCCTGCTTCTCCTCCCACGCTGGTGTAAATCCAGGGTGACTCCACCCACATCAGTGGACCTGGACTGGTGTAATTGAAGGAAGGAGAGATCAGGCCCTAGGAAGCATCTGAGGGTACAGGAGCTCGGGGCCAGGGGAGCTGAGCCGCTCTGTATGGCAAGGCACAGTTGTGTGGTGCTGCTGTAATATCCCCATGTAGCGGGGGCTCAGGATCCCAGTGAGGAAATCTCATTGTTTTATCCCCCCCTGCCCTTGGCAGATCCTGGAGAATTACGAGAAAGACGAGAGTGACGTCTGCCCATCTGAAGTCTTCGTCCCCATCGTCCTCTACAACTCCCTCAAGTTGGAGTTCGACCAGCTCAGAGAGCAGCACGCTGAGGCCCAGGCTGCCCTGCAGGCTCTGGAAGGCGGCGGGCCCCACGGGGCCTCCTGCGAGCTAGTCCCAGTGGAGGCTTACAAGCAGCTGAAGGCTGAATACGAGATGCAGATCCAGGCCCTAGAGCAGGCGCTGCAGGGGAGCAGCGCCCCAGCTGAGCCCGAGGGGAAAGGCCAGGCTGGGGTGCAGGCAGAAGGAAGCAGCAGGGAAGGAGGGGCTGGAGATGCGGCTGTGGAAGAGCTGACCAAAACGCTGGCTGAGATGCGGGAGAAGCACGAGGCGGCTGTGGCTGAGGTGTGGCTCCTGCGGGAGCAGATCCAGCTGGGCATCCTGTCCGTGGAGGAGCCGGAGGCGGCTGAGAGCTCCGGGAGCGAGCTGGAGACGGTGAGGGCAGCTCTGCAGAAAGCCCAGGAGGCCCTGCTGGAGAGAGACCAGAGGGTGAAGGAGCTGGAGGGGCGCCTGGATGCCCAGGAAGAAGCAGCCGGTGGAGGCCGCTCCGCCGAGGAGGCGAGGGCGGCCCTCGGCGTCTCCTTGGGAGAAGCCGCGGCGGAGAAGGCCGCGCTGCTGGACAGGTGCCGCCACGCGGAGGCAGAAGTGGAGCAGCTGAGGAGGAGCGTGCAGGAGGGAGCCAGGGAGCTGCAGGAAGCGATGGGCCGCCTCTCGGAGAGCCAGAGGCTGGAGGAGGAGAGCCGGCAGCTCCGCGAGCAGCTGGCAGAGCTGCGGGGGCAGTACGAGGAGGTGCAGGCCCAGCTCCGAGAGGATCAGGGCAAGAGGGAGGAGGAGCTGAGCGGCCTGAAGGAGCAACTGGCTTCCGAGAGCATCTCCAGGCAGGAGCAGGAGGAGGTGGCGGGGAAGCTGGGCGGGTCGTTGGCCGAGGCCAACAAGAAGCTGCTGGAGCTGGAGGAGAGGCACAGCGCCGCCCAGAGGGAGGTGAGGGAGCTGCAGCATGCGGCGGAGCGGTACAGGCGGGACTGGATCCCGCCGGCCGAGCACACCCGAGCCAAGGAGGCCCTGGAGGGCAGCGTCCGGGAGCTGAAGGCCAGAGCCCAGCAGCTGGAGCAGGAGCTGGCCGCCAAAGCCCAGGAGGCCTTGCGGCTGCAGGGCGAGCTGGCCAGCGCTCGGGAGGGCACGGTCCCCAGGGAGGAGCACGAGCAGCTGCGGTGCAGCCTGCAGGCGGAGGCGAGCGCACTGAGCCTGCAGCTCAGCGACCTGGAGCGCAAGCACGAGAAGACCTGCACAGAGGTGTTCCAGGTGCAGCGCGAGGCCCTCTTCATGAAGAGCGAGAAGCACGCGGCCGAGGCCCAGTTGGCCGCCACGGAGAAGCAGCTGCAGAGCCTGCGGGCCGAGTCCGGGCGGATCCAGGAGCTGCACGGCCAGATCGAGGACTCGGCCAAACTGGTCAAGGAGAAGGACAGGAAGGTGGGTCTGGGCTTCCCCATCACCCCGCCCATGCTAGAGCCAGGTTAGGTGGGGACCCCCTATCCCTGCCCACAATAGAGCCATGGGACAGGGGTGAAATTTGGGTCTGGCAATGCCATCACCCAGCCTGGACTCAAGAGGGGTGAGAGGTGGGTTTGGCAGTCCCAGATCCCAGCCCGAGATAGAGCCATGTGAGGGGGGTGAGAGGTGGGTCTGGGGATCCCAGATCCCAGCCCGAGACAGAGCCACATGAGGGGGTGAGAGGTGGGTCTGGGGACAGTGCAGCGTTCCCCGAAAGTACGTTTGTTTCGAAGGAGGAACACTGCACGGGAAAGAGGTTCCAAAAGGGGGAGAAAGCGAGCAGGGGAGGTTCCCCCAGGGAAATGAAACAGAATTTTTCACCATCTTTGGTCGCAGAGCAAAAAACCTCCAAGAAAACAAATCGTTTGGCACATTTGTGGCAAAAGAGACCGACCCACCTCCCCCACTGGCTCTGGTAGGGACAGGAGCTGGCTGGCCAGCAACAGACATTTGTTCCACTGGTTCTTTAGCTGTTTATCTGCCACCCAGAGCAGATCATGCCCTGCTGATGCCCAAAGGGCCGATGCCCCAGTGGCATGCGAGTGCCCCCAAAGGAGGAAGCAGCAGCAACCCAGGGGTTAACGAGCAGCCCCAGTGAGAATGAGGATGCAGGTCTGGCTCTGTGGAGGGGTGCGTGTCTGCGGAGGGCTGGCCGGGGCGGGGGGGGCTGGGAAGCTGGGCTTTGGAATCTCTTGCGTTGCGTGTCCTAACATCATGCGAGACTTTGCCCTAGACTCGAACCCACCCCGGTGAACTCAGCCAGCCCTTTGTGACCGGCCAATCTCTTCGCCTTTGCAGATCACCGAGCTGTCCAAGGAAGTCTTCAAGCTGAAGGAGGCCTTGAACAGCCTGTCTGAGCGCTCCGGCCAGGTGGGGGCCCTGCCCAAGGCGGCCCCACAGAACCCGCAGGAGGTGGCGAAGCTGCAGAGCACGATAAAGGCCTTGGAACAGCAGCTGGCCGTGGGTATCCGGGACCAGCGGGACTGGGGAGCGGGGAGGAGCAGAGCCCGGGGTTTGTGGTGTTAGTCCCCTGTTGGGCTCGGGGACAGCAGGGGCTAAGTGCTGAGCTCGGCTGAGTCTGGAAAGTGACGTGCAGCTCGGGACCTGGGGGCACCGTCCGGGCAGGTGGAAGCAGCGGAGTCGCTGGGATGGCGGCTCCGAGGGCTGCGTGGACCATGCTGGCTCGGGGGCCCAGCCCCACAAAGGTATAATAGGCTCCTAACTCCCATGGGAGTTCGGCTCCTACATACCATTAAGGATCTGGGCCAGTGTGTCTTGGCCCGATGCCTTCTGCCCTTCCGTCCCTGGTCACAGCAGAGGTCCAGCAGTAACCCCTCCGCTAAAACATCCGCTTCTTTCTACGGCACTGAGGGAGTTGCTTTAGCTGGGTGCCGGAAGGGGAGTGACACCGGTTCCCCTCGGCTGTGTTCGGTGTGAGAGCCAGAGCAGGATCCGATTCCCCCAGCTCTGTGCCGTGTCTGGCGGGGGGGGGCACTGGTCAGAGGTGTCGTGAGCGGAGAGTGGCCCAGTTCCATTGGGACCGTAGTGTGACCCCCCCCTCGCCCCTTGATTCCAGGAGATGGAGACACACCACCGCAAGGTCGTCTCACTCTACCGGAACCACCTGCTCTGTGCGATTCAGGTCAGTGCGTGGGGGGCAGGGCTGGGCTGGGGGCGCAGTGTCTCGCAGTGATCGGGCACGGGTGTTCGCTGTTCCGGGTGTGTCCGTCCGTGTGTCTGAATCAGTAGAAGTGTGTGTGTGTTTGCACACCTGTGTGTCAGTGAGTGGGCGTTTGCACGTGGGTGTGTCAGTATAAGTGTGTTTGCACACGTATGTCAGTATAAGTGGGTGTGTTTGCACATGGGGGTGTGTAAGTGTGTGTCTGCACGTGTGTGTCAGTATATGTGGGTGGGTGTTTGCATACGTGTGTGTGGAAGTGGGGGGGTGTTCGCACATGGGTGTGTCAATATAAGTGGGTGTGGGGTGGTGTATTGGGTGACTGAATTCCAAGCATTTCAGACACAGTGTTTACTAGGCCTGTTTGGACCTACAAAAATGACATCCTGGTCTCCCCCCATTCCCGTCCCTGCCCCCAAGCTCCCCAGCACGTGAACGACATGACCTTGGAAGTGCCATGCCCTTGGGGGTGGGGAATCCTGCCATTGTCCCTTGAAGCTCAAGTGGGAGTTTGGAGGAAGGGCGGAGGGTCTCCGTGCACATTGGACAGGAGCTGGCGGCTCATGCTGGGTGGAAGGAGACTTGTGCAGAAGGCAGGAGCCTGTGAGCCATGTGTATGCCGGTGTGCGTGTGCATGTCGAGTGCACGCTCCTTGCCACGGTGTGTCTCTCACATGCAGCGTGTCCAAGGCCTGTGGTAAAAGTGGCGACGTCTGCGTCTCCGTGCCCGGGACACGCCACGTGTCCAAGACGTGCGGTGCACACGTAGCGACGTCTGCCTCTCCGTGCCCAGGACGCGCCGCGTGTCCAGGGCGTGCGGTGCACACGTGGCGACGTATGCCTCTCCGTGCCCGGGACGCGCCGCATGTCCAGGGCGTGCGGTGCACACGTGGTGACGTCTGCCTCTCCGTGCCCGGGACGCACCGCATGTCCAGGGCGTGCGGTGCACACGTGGTGACGTCTGCCTCTCCGTGCCCAGGACACGCCGCGTGTCCAAGGGCTGTGGTACAAGTGGAGACGTCTGCGTCTCCGTGTCCGGGACGCGCCACGTGTCCAGGGCGTGCAGTGCACACGTGGCGACGTCTGGGTCTCCGTGCCCGGGACGCGCCACGTGTCCAGGGCATGCGGTGCACACGTGGCGACGTCTGCGTCTCCGTGCCCGGGACGCGCCGCGTGTCCAGGGCGTGCAGTGCACACGTGGCGACGTCTGCGTCTCCGTGCCCGGGACGCGCTGCGTGTCCAGGGCGTGCAGTGCACACGTGGCGACGTCTGGGTCTCCGTGCCCGGGATGCGCCGCGTGTCCAGGGCGTGCGGTGCACACGTGGCGACGTCTGCGTCTCCGTGGGGGGCGCCGCGTGTCCAGGGCGTGGGTGCAAGTGGGACGTCTGGGTTCCGTGCCGGGAGGCAGTGTCAGGGATGGGTGAAGTGGGACGTGCGCCGTGCCTGGGACGCCACGTGTCCAGGGCGTGCGGTGCACACGTGGCGACGTCTGCGTCTCCGTGCCCGGGACACGCCGCATGTCCAGGGCGTGCGGTGCACACGTGGCGACGTCTGGGTCTCCGTGCCCGGGACGCGCCACGTGTCCAGGGCATGCGGTGCACACGTGGCGACGTCTGCGTCTCCGTGCCCAGGACACGCCACGTGTCCAAGGGCTGTGGTACAAGTGGAGATGTCTGCGTCTCCGTGCCCGGGACGCGCCGCGTGTCCAGGGCGTGCAGTGCACACGTGGCGACGTCTGCGTCTCCGTGCCCGGGACGCGCCGCGTGTCCAGGGCGTGCGGTGCACATGTGGCGACGTCTGCGTCTCCGTGCCCGGGACGCGCCGCATGTCCAAGACGTGCGGTGCACACGTGGCGACGTCTGCCTCTCCGTGCCCGGGACGCGCCGTGTGTCCAGGGCGTGCGGTGCACACGTGGCGACGTCTGCCTCTCCGTGCCCGGGACGCGCCGCGTGTCCAGGGCGTGCGGTGCACACGTGGTGATGTCTGCGTCTCCGTGCCCGGGACGTGCCACGTGTCCAAGGTGTGCAGTGCACATGTGGTGACGTCTGCGTCTCCTGCCCGGGACGCACCGCGTGTCCAGGGCGTGCGGTGCACACGTGGCGACGTCTGGGTCTCCGTGCCCGGGACGCGCCACGTGTCCAGGGCGTGCGGTGCACACGTGGCGACGTCTGCGTCTCCGTGCCCGGGACGCGCCGCGTGTCCAGGGCGTGCAGTGCACACGTGGCGACGTCTGCATCTCCGTGCCCGGGACGCGCCGCGTGTCCAAGGTGTGCAGTGCACATGTGGTGACGTCTGCCTCTCCGTGCCCGGGACGCGCCGCGTGTCCAAGGCGTGCGGTGCACACGTGGCAACGTCTGCGTCTCCGTGCCCAGGACGCGCCGCGTGTCCAGGGCGTGTTTGCTGTGACAGTGTATGTGAAAAGCAGGGAAACCAACCCTGGAACAACCTTTTTCATCTGAGCTCCCGAAATGTAGCGCTGGGCCAGAACCAGCTCCCCAGCTCTGGGCCCCCCCGGCCTCTGGGGCAGCTGGGATCTGGAGCTGAACTTTGCACCCTGAGCCCATATCCAGCAAAACGAAGGAATTATTTCACTCAGCATCCGGCAATGGCCACGTGCTCCTGCCATGCACCTGCTGAGATGGCTGCCTCTGGAATCGGCACAGTCCTGCCCTGCCTTAGCCAGTGGGGCTGGTGTAGGGTGTAAGTCAGGGCACCCGCTGACCTGCTCTCGGGGAGACCGCTGTGATTTCCCCGCCTCCGTCTCCTTTGCAGGGCCACATGGACGAAGACGTGCAGAGACTCTTGTACCAGATCCTGATGATGCAGAGGCTGCAGGAGCAAGGCAGATGAGCTCCCCGGGGCCAGGGAGCCCGGCCCGGTCCCTGGTTCTGAGCAGGGGAGCGGAGTGGATTCGCACGCGGAACTGGCTGGACTCCAGCGTCAAGCGGTGTGGCGAGGCCCTGTGGCCAGCTGGCCCTTTTTTGCACACACCTCCTCACCAAGATCAAGGCACACGAGTGTTGGGTGACCCCTGGGGCAGCACCTTTGCTCCCTGTTCCTGGGCAGCCTGTGCTGGGAGGTGCCCGTGGGCAGGTGGCTGGAAGGTGCCTCGTGGCAAGGTGTAGGCCCAGCTCACACGGCCCTTTCCACGGGTGCTTTCACCTCGGCAGCCTCCGAGACGGGATGAGGGAGGCAGGCTCCTGACCGGGCGATGCCACTGGGTGAGGGGCCCATCCTCGCTCCGTGGGCAGAAGGGAGCAGGGATGGGGAGAGGCTGCAGTAATTCACCAGCTCCTGCCTGCGTCTCTCAGCGGAGCATCCACAGCAATAAACTCTTTATACTCACTCAGCAGAGGCTCGCTGGTTTTCCTGCGTGGGGAAGGGACATGTGCGGGGGCGAGGGTGGGGGGTCGTACACCTGGGAGCTGGTGCCAGGGAAACGCAGGCAGCTGTTGGGCTGAATGTCCCACTGCTGCCCTCCTGCCTTGCAGCACCTGCTATTCCAGGCTGGAGCCCCTCCTGACATGGGCCTGTCTGGACCTCCACGGTGAGGGGTGGGGTGGGTGGGCTGCAGGCCAGGGCGGAGGTGCGCTGACAGCGTTATGGCTGGAGCAGAATTGAGGGGCGCTGGCAGAGCTGGGGGTGGGGGAGCCTAGGGCTGGAATAGTGGTGGGGGCTGCAGTTTGGGGCTATTCCAGCCCAGGACTCTTCCCCCCCAGCTCAGCCCATGCACCTCACTCTTGGATGACAGCTCCCACTCCAACTGGTATTCCAGTCCTGGCCTCCTCTGTAGCCTTCCCACGCCACTAACTGCCAAGGCCCATCGGCCCTGCAGCCCCCTTGCCCCCCAAGTCACCCCAGCTCTGTCAGGGCCCCTCAATCCCGACCCGCAGCCACAACTCTCCTCTGCCACGCTCTGGGCCCCAACCAAGCAGACTCTGCCAGTGCTGCTGGACTGTTAACCAGCGCTCACTGGCTCCTTTCGCAGGGACTAGGCTGAGACCCTGCCAAACTCATTTTGTCTGTGGCCGAAAAATGCTCCTTTTCCACTCGGCCAGCTGGGAAACGTCATGAACAGCACCCCACGAAATGGCAACATTTGGGAAACTTTGGGATTGATCCCGGTGACATCAGCCCAGGGGATGCACTCCCAGCAGGGGATTGGGCCCCATTCTGCTCCAAGGGAGCTCTCAGCTGGGGACCGACCCCGCCGAGGTGGGGGAGCCCAGTGCTAGCAGGCAGATAAGATATGGGGAGACTCCAGGGACAGGCTTTGATGAAGGAGAGCTGGTTGGGCAAGAACTCGGGAGCAGAAGGGGATTTTGGGGGCTCATGGTTTCCTCCAGGACTAGCCATTTTGGGGGGGAGGGTCACCTGGGAAGGGGCTGCCCCCAGACACACCTGGGAGTTAAAAACAACTTAGTTAAAAAAAGGAAAGTTGAGCAAAAATCCTATTGGCCACAAGTGGCTGCGCTGTCCCGAGACACATCCAGGCCCCTGGGGTGGGTCTGCCCCGAGTACAGCTTTGCCCATGCTGGGGGGCTGGACTCACGAACCCCACCTTACGGTGCATACAACCCCACTCCCGCTTGTTTCAGGGCAATAATTCCCACTGGCTCCTGAGGGGCAGGATCCAACCTTGTCCCAGCAACAGGCCTCTGAATAACCCGGTCCCTGCCTTTTTCTGAAACCTTTGTTTAAAAACACTTTGCCCCGCGGCAGCAGGGCAAAGACCAGCTAAACATCCCCCCCCCCCCCGCAGCTGCCCCCGCATCTCCGAGAGAGACCTGGGCCCACGCACCCCAGCCACCAAAACCCCGCCTGGGCCAGGGCGGGGACTTGTGGGCTTTGTGGTTTGTTCCGAGTTGTCTCCGGGAACCGTGGTGGGAACGGCTGGTGCATTTCCTGAGCGCGTTGTGTGCGAGGAAGTGAGCAGCGGCCGGGCTGAGGTCAGACGGGGATTTTGCTTCCCGAGCCGAGGCGACTCCAGTTGCCTCCGGTTCGGCGCGGCATCAGGACACCGATTTGTGCACATCAGGTGAGTCTCTGGTTTCCTCTGGGCGTTGGTGGCAGGTGGGGCTGTTTGTTGCCCGGGCGGCTGGCGTGAAGCATCGCGGGGCGAAGCCATGACATTCGCTGCCGTTCACGCCCTCCTCTGCGCCCGGGAGAGGGGTGGGTAACTCACTGTCCTGGCATCTAGCCCTGCTCAGAGCTGCTGTCCGCCCTCGAGCGCAGTGGTGGAGTTGCTTGGGGGCGGTGGCCAGTGACAGATCCCCCCACACACACCCCGAATGTCCAGGTAAGAATCTAGGTAACCGATGAAGTGAGCTGTAGCTCAGGAAAGCTCATGCTCAAATAAATTGGTTAGTCTCTGAGGTGCCACAAGTACTCCTTTTCTTTTTGCGGATACAGACTAACACGTCTGTTACTCTGAAACCTGAAATAGGTCACCAGCTGTTTGGATCTGGCAGGGACTGAAAACCACTGCGATTTCATAGATGTGGGCTGGGTCCTCAGCTCAGTGCCAGGCAGGACAAAATCCCCCCTGCCACTTGCCCTCCTGACTGGGGTAGGAAGCGTGGTCTAGTGGCCAGGGCATGGGACTGGGTCTCGGGAAGATCTGGGTTCAATTCCTATCTCTACTACAGACCTCTTATGTGCTCCTTCACTTACTCGGTGCCTTGGGGCCCCGGGCTGTAACCCTACCTGCCGGGGAAGCTAAAATCCCTGACTCGGGGGGAGGCTTTCAGACATGTTGGCTCACCGCGGGGTAAGTGCCCGGGCAGAGCAGGGGTAGCGGCGGCAGGGCTGTCTAGGAGAAGGGGCTGTGGAGGCTGGACCAGAGAACAGAACAGCTGCTCCGGGAGCTGCTGTCCACACGAGACCTGCCTAGCAGAGAGGCAGGATTGTCCACCAGAGCCCCTAGCTCTGAATTCACCCTGCTAAACGACAGAGCTCCGGGGCCGCAGGGGAACATTAATGCTGAGCCCTGGCTCTTATCTAGCATTTTCCAGTAGTAGAGCTCAAACCTCAGTGGTCATTGTCATCACCCCTATTGTACAGAGGGGGAAACTGAGGCACGGAGCAGGGACGTGACTTGCCCAAGGTCTCCCTGCAGACCAGGGTCAGAGCTAGGAATAGAACCCAGGTCCCCCCGGGGCCAGTGCTCTAACCAGTAGGTCAGGCTGCCTCCAAAAGTGGTTTCACCATGAGAAGACGGTGTCAGCCAAAAAAATCCCCTTTTCTGTCCCTGCCTTGCTGGGCTGCCAGTAAAACAACCCGACCTCACTGTGGGGCCCACGTGCTGGCCTGGTGTGTCCTGATCCTGGCCCCTAGCAGAGAGCGGCAGGCTCTTCATACCTCTGCCAAAGAGCAGCATTTACCGCAGGGCCCCCTCTCGGCCACAAAGCCACAACCACTCACCCAGCCTGGGAAACCCCAGCGGAGACACCTGCCCTGCACGCATGACTCTAGCTCCTGCTTGGTGCTGTTTCCTTCTTGCTGGCACCACACCCTCCCCTTGGACCCGTTAACCCCTTGGGCGCTGGCCAACGTCGTCTGGAAAGGGTTAAATTGCAGGCTCAGTCTGGGTTAAGCCAGGGGTGGGGAAGCGCATGGTCCGAAGTCCCCTCTGTGACTGGGGTCTCCAGATCCCCATGGAAGGAGACCCAGGGTAGTTTCCTCCCAGCCCAGCCTCTCTTCTTCCCCAGGACTCGGGGGGAGGTTAAAGGGCTTGCCGCAGTACACACCTGCTTCACCCCAAGGGAGGCCTGTTGGGGACCCGCTCTGTTAGCAAAGCAGCAGCCACCGAGCATGGGGCTCGCACAAATTCAGCAGCTTCCTGTGGAGGTGCTGGGGCCCGACCCCAATGGAAGCTGGGTGGGGCGGCCTGACGGATGGATTCCCTCCCCTGGAGCACAACCGCCAGCATGTGCCGTTTGGTGCAGGATTCGAGCTGGGGGCCTTGTCCCCAGCATCAGATCTGCCACGCTTGGCTGGCAGGATGCTTTTCCTCACCGCAGGAAGGGCACCCAGTGAGAGAGAGGAGCCCTGCCCTGAAGAGTTCACAGCCTAAATAGACAAAGAGGGGGAGCGGAAACTGAGGCACAGAAGGGGGAAGGGACTTGCCCAATTGCTGGGCATAGAACCCAGGTCCCAGGGCCTTTCTTCTAACCACTATACAATGCTGCCTTCGTGCAACCCAAACCCTCTCCATAAATGACATCAATCTCTTGTACCAACCCCCCAGGGTCGAGCCCCTCTCGGGAAGACATCGTCCGTTCCCAGCCACACCCACTTTCAGGCCCTGATTTTGCTCCGCTCCTGACGGCTTTTTCTCCAGGCGCCCGTGCTGCCGACCGGCGCCCGCTGGGAGATGAAGTGGATGGTGATTGTCGCCTTGGTCCTGCCGGCCTGGTCCGCCCCCTGCAGCAGCACGGCTGGGAGCGAGGGAGAGGAGGGTACGAGGAGGAAGGGCCGGTTCCCAGTGGCCCCCGGCAAGGCTTTGTGTATTTCTCCTGCCCCTGGGCTGCGGGGTTGGTTCTGTGGTGCCAGGATCTGCCGAGCAGATGGTCCCTTGCACTCCGATGCGCCATCTCCCCCAGTCGCCTGACTCGGACCCAGCCAATGACGCATGCAACGGAGACAGCAGCAAACCCTCTTCCCCCGAGCGCCTGACTCATCGGGGGGGGCGGGGGGGAGGTGAATTTCTCCTGACCCCAGCTGGTGATCGGCTTGTGCCTGATGCTGGCGGGTGGGCAGCCCCTAGCAAGGGGATAACCCCAGGAGTGGGACTGATGCTGGACGCGTTAGGTTAACAATGAGAAGGGCGGGGGAGGAGGGGAAGGCTGCCTCCTTTGGGGGGGGTCACATTGCTTTGCAAGCTAGTGAGTCGGGGCCCCATGTAGCCAGGATCACACCGGGCAGCACCACCTGTCTTGGGAACTTCCCCCTGCTGGGCCAGTCATTTACTATGAGGTCAGTGGCAGAGGCAAAAAGAGAACCCAGGAGTCCTGGCTCCTCAGTTTGGTGTCCTGGCCACTGGGTCACAATCCTGGGGTGAGGATTTCAAAAGCAGCTGAGGGAGTTAGGCAAGTCAACCTAGCGGCTGGGAGCAGAGGCCAGCCACATTCTAGTGAGAACTGGGGCCCCAGCTCTAACAGAGAGGCTGATTAACTAACGGGATGCGGTGGATTCTGCATCTCTCGATGTCGTCAGATCAACTCTGGTGGCCTTTCTGGAAGAGATGCTTTGTCCAGACCGGGCTCATGATGGGGGTAACTGGGTTAAATTCTCTGGCCTGTGATACCCAGAGGATCAGACCAGATCTCCTGCTCCCTTCTGAATTCCCCTACATTGTAATGG